TTGCCTATGAATGTGTATTAAGCATGTGCCTGGTGCCCTCAGAGGCCAGAAGAGGGTATTGGATCCCTTGGGACTGGAGTTACAGATTGTTATGAGTCACGAGGGGGGTCCTGGAAATTGAACACTGGTAACTACTGAGCCATCCCTCCAGCCTGCTAATTTTCTTCTTTTAATTGCAAAGCCAAGTTTAGTTCAATCGAGTTGAGGGCAATCTCAGCACTCAAGAGGCAGAGGCAGGGGCTGGAGACATGGCTCAGGGGGGCTAAGAGCACTGGCCCCAGAGGACCCAAGTTTGATTCCCAGCACTGGTACAGGGGTTCACAACTGTCTTTAGCTTCGGTCCCAGGGTTCCGATGCCCTCTTCTGGCCTCCATTGACATTACACAGACATATAACAATGTGTGAGCAAAACACCCATACACATAAGGTTAAAAATGAAGGGGAAAAAAAAGAAGCATGAGGATTGTTGAAAGTTCTAGGATAGCCTGGTCTACATAGTTCTTCGCCAGACTGGGCTACATAGTGAGAGAATGTCTTTAAAAAAAAAAAAACCACACAAATAAAAAACAACAAAACCATGACCTTGCAGCATTTGAAAATATGCTCAATGAAGGAAGCCAGTTACATAAGTACATACATTAAATTATTCCAATTCTTTGAAATTCCACAACAGGTAAGCTATGAGGCCACAAGCAGAGAAAGACTGGGGAGAGCTGTGGAAAGAGGACCAGGAAGTGAATGTAGGTGGGTAAATGTTTTTTTTGGAGGGAGGAGTATGATAAAAATATTTTGGAATTAAACACTTGTGTAACCTTGCAAGGGCCCCAACAGCACTGGATGGGTGCAGTAGACATTAATGTGAATGTGTGTGGTGTGTGGATGGTATTCAAACTCAATCACTGCATCTAACATCAAAGGTAACAGAATAAAATTTCCCTCCTTCCTTCCCTCTTTGTTTTTTTTTTTTTTTTTTTTTTTTTTTGAGACAGGGTCTTACTATGGAGTTCTAGCTATTCTAGAATTCACAAAGATCCCCCTGTCTCTGACTCCTGGGTGCTGGAATTAAAGATGCAAGTCACTATGGCTGGCTTGTTTTTATTTTGTATTTTGGTTTTTTGAGACAGGGTTTCTCTGTGTAGCCCTGACTGTCCTAGAACTTGCTTTGTAGACCAGGATGGCCTCGAACTCACAGAGTTCCTCCTGCCTCTGCCTCCTGAGTGCTGGGATTAAAGGTGTGTGCTACCACAGACTGGCTGACTTTTTTGAAATAGGGTTTCACTATGTAGTCCAGATGGACTTCACTCATGATCTTCCTGTCTCAGCCTCCTGAGAGTGGGGATTACAGGTGTATGTCTGCCTGGCTGGCTCTAAAAAAGATGATTTTTACAAAGCTTCCACTTATAATAACACAATTAAATATAATAAAAGATTTACGGTGTTGCTGAAAATTTGTTTAGTGGTTTCTTTTTAAAAATTCAAGCCGGGCGGTGGTGGTGCAAGCCTTTAATCCCAGCCCTCGGGAAGGCAGAGCCAGGCGGATCTTTGTGAGTTCGAGGCCAGCCTGGTCTACCAAGTGAGTTCCAGGAAAGGCGCAAAGCTTCACAGAGAAACCCTGTCTCAAAAAACAAAAACAAAAACAAACAAACAAAAAAATTCAAACCGTGGGGCTGGTGTGAGGGCTTGGTGGATAACAGCACTTGCCACCTGAGCTGGAGAACCTGAATGGGAACCCTGGGTACCACGGTGGAAGGAGATATCCTGTTCCTTAAAGCTGTTCCCTGACCTCCATGAGTGAGCCTGAACACATACACACACCACATTCAATTAAACTTTAAAAATAAGTAAGATAACAAAATATATTTACTGCAGGGTCCAGTGATAGCATCCCAGGCATCTGTCTGAAAGAAATGAACACATGGAACCACAGAACACCTTGTCCGTGATTGTCAGGAAAGTTAGTTGGAAAGGTTTAAAAGTGAATGCTGGAGTCTGGCACGGTGGCCCCATGCCTTTGATCTCAGCACTTGGGGAGGCAGAGGCAAATGGATCTCTGTGAGTTCAAGGCCAGCCTGGTCCACAGAGTGAGTTCCAGGACAGACAGGGCTATACAGAAAAATCCTGTCTTGGAAAAACACAACAAAAACAAAACAAAAAAGAAATGAAAGGGAAAGATACAAATCAGTGCCCGGAGGCAGCCATTAACTCCCAAGGAGAGTCAAGATTCCCACGTCTTCCCAAACTGCATCTATATTCAGTTCAACACAGTCGATTATGGGAATCAGCGAGAGCCCCAGATACCCGGCAGAGGAGAGGGGCCTGGAGTGCTGAGCACCAGTTAGGCCAGTGGGCTCCCTGCCGGACAGCTGGACCCTGAGACCAAGGTCGCACCCAGGGGACACTGCAGGACACATCTGTCTCCACCTGTCATCCTTGGAGCCTTCTTGCGAGGCTGCACTCACTCCTGCATCCCAAGCTACATGTCACTTGAGGTCACTGCCTGAGAGGGGGCCCAAGTCTTCTGGCTTCATCCTAGGCCCCTTCCAAAGTGAACCCCAAGCCAGATGGCTGATTCAGAATCTCCGGTGCACAGTGGGGTGCCTCGAATCCGCATGGGCAATAACTTCCCAGTGGAATTTGGAAGAGGAAGAGAGAGGGAGGAGGGAAGGAAGAGGGAGAGAAGACACAGAGGGAGGGGTGGGTAGGGAGGAGGGACTGTCTGAGACCTAGTCCTCAGTGGCCAGTAGGGATGGGGAACAATTAGACACTGTCTCTCTGCTCCCGCCCCCAGTCTTTCATCACTGACCTAACCCAGAGGGCAGAGTGCTGGGGGGGGGGGCAGGGGGCAGGGGCAAGTCAGAGGTCAGCCTTTGCCTGCTGAGCTGAGCCAGTGGTTGGAGGGACTTCGGGCCCCTCTGAGGTATACATCCCACTGCTGGCCTAGTCAGCTGACTGGAGACAGTGGCTGAGAAGAAAGGTTTGCCAAAGTGGTGGGATCACGACCGTTACTCATTTATCCAAACAGACCTGTGGGGAATGCTGGGCATGGACTTGCCACCTTGCTAGGAGTTGGGGATGGAGGGTGATTTGATTACAGTAGGCTGCAGACTTTGGGAGCTTACAATAGGGTAGAAGGTAGAGAGGAGAGAGATATATAGACATAGATAGATAGATGATAGATAGATAGATAGATAGATAGATAGATAGATAGATAGATAGATATAGATAGATAGAGACAGAGAGATTGAGAGCACTGGTCAGTAAGCAAATATATACACACAACCACAAACTGTCACATATGAACACACAGTGGCCCTGCTGGCCTCCTGAGCATCTCATGTCACCTCCCCAAATGTATTGGTGTGCATTTGCCGCAAGGACTCTCTGCTGGGGTCTCTGCCAGCTGCCTCCTCACTGGCATCTGCAGTGTCTCCCCAGAGATGGCAGGAATAGAGCCAGCCACCTTTCCCACCACGTCCATCTTGGAGTTAGCCTGTCTCCTCCCATCTTGCCGGCCAGTCCCACTGGCTCCTGAGAACTCGTCAGCAGTACGCCCCACTTGTCTGCCTCACTGGATGTCCTTCTGGCTGGAGTTGGCAAGTGCTCAATAAATATTTATAAAATGAGCTTAGGAATGAGTGCGTGGGTCAGACCCACCCCTGACTTCTTGACCTTCACGGTGACCTTCAATGCCTTGGAGAGGTCAAAGAGTGAGGAGTGTAGGCCTCGTGCTGGGTCACAGCAGCAGCTGAGGGGTAGAGGGCCGGGCACAGCCTGGCATTCGAATGACCAGCCTCACCCACAGCCCACACACTGCAGACTCCACAGACTGAGTCAGCAGGCTGTGACCCCGGGGAATGGCTATTTTGGCACTCCTAGGCGGCAGTGCTAAAATTAGCCACCAGGTGGCGGCACTTCCTCGGGAAAAGGATGTGGCTCTGGGGATTGAATCCGACCCAGGGAACCACAGAGGTACAAGCGGGGTGGACCCAGGCCTAGAAGGGGCTACAACTCGCACAGGGTCACAAGCTTTAAGTGGCAGGGCTGAGATAGAAGAGAGGTCGGCACCTGCTTGGAGAGAATGGGAAACGGGAGGCTTGTCCAAGAGGGAATGAACTGGAAAGCAGGGCCCGAGCTTGTCAGGGAACAACCTGAAATGTGCGGTTATCCTCACTCTGTTAGACCCCAGGAACACAGCTGCCCTTGATGAAGAGCCTAGAAGTCTCTATGAGATCTCTGCTGAACACTCTGCATATGGGGCTCACTCTGTGCTCCCATGAGACATGCATGGCAGCCTAGTCCTCCAGTCACTGTTCCCAGCTGTCTCTCCTGCCACATGGATTCTCTGAGGTCAGACACTGTATCCCCACAGCCTGCCTCTAGAAGCCTTCACCCTCCTCTCTTCCTCTGCACACCTCCTGTAGGACAGAGAGCCCCTTCCTCCAGGAAGCCTGCCCGGGTTAGAGCACTCCTCTGGACCCACACGGCATCCTGCTCTCCAGGGATGGAGAGGTCCCTGTTCAGGAGTGTTGGTGACCTGAACAGCCCTGTCCCATATGTAGACACTTCTGGGCTTCTGACATCTTTGGACAACACACACAGAATTGTGCCAACCTAGCCTGGTCTGAGAAGAGCTCAGGAATCCGAGTTCAGGACACTTCCCACATGAGTCACACACAGACACATACGTACTGTAAGGCCCTTTGGAGGCCCTGCCCTTTGAAATGGTTAGACATCATCATCATCATCATCATCATCATCATCATCATCATCATCATTATTATTTTGAGACAGGGTTTCTCTGTGTAGCCCTGGCTGTACTGGAACTCACTCTGTAGACCAGGCTGGCTTGAACTCACAGAGATCCGCCTGCCTCTGCCTCCCGAGTGCTGGGATTAAAGGAGTGCGCCACCACTGCCCATCGGACTTCATTGTTGTCCTGTGAAGCAACATGAAACCTCTGCCATCTGTGTGACAGAGATCACTCACAAAACACAGTCACATTTCATCCCCCTTTATTGGCCGTCTTGGGAGGATGGTCGATCTGCAGGCACCCAAGGCCTGTAGAAAAATGGTGATTGCCTAAGGTCCCCAGTGAGATGGTGGGACTTGGACTTTTGCTGTTTATCTGGGAGCTGGAAAGGTGAATTTGATGCAAATTCTGGGCTTGGAGGATGTTCCTTCACTGAGCCCGGTTCAGTACCTAACACTGGCCTGTGACTCCAGCATGATGGAGGAAACTCAGGCCACTGCTGCTGTCCTGGTCACTTCTCCCTGAAGATGTCCAGCCCTCTGGACCTCCTGAAGCCACGCCAATTGTCTTCTCATGGTCCCATAGAGAACCATATCAATTCTGCAAGCATTTGACTCCCAGCCAGATGTGTGCCAGTGACTTGCTCCAAATTCCCGCTCTAAAATGACAGAGCCTGAGTATGAACTAGGGTTGTGTGGGGGAGAAAAGCTGAGGGAGCCCTGAGTTGGATCCCCAGCTCCATATCAACTGGGCAAGCAGCCCTGAGGAGGAGGAGGAGGAGGAGGCAGGAGGTTAGAACTTTAAGGCCATTCTCAGGTAGTGAACTTGGGCAACACAAGATCTTATCTTCAACAAAACAAAAACAAATAAACAAAACCCCCCACTGGCCTGGAAGCAGAGCTTGGTGGAACCACACTCCTGCCACCGACCCCATGTAATAGAGGAAGACGCCTCTCAGAGCCCACTCCCCACTTGCACGGGGTGGCCGCCAGTACCTGTTCTGTCCTCACGGGGAGAAGATGGACTGGGATTCTCCGTCAGTGACCTGAGCTGCAGAGCAGTGGGCAGAGGGAAGGTGGCTGCCATGGTGGCATACAACACACTTGCTGAGACTCAGCTCAGCTCCCTGCAGGCGATGGGAAGGCCTCCGTAGGCTATGTGGATAACCATCCCGCACCCCTGCAGGGGTCTCTGTGAACACCCAGGCCAGCAGAGTGTCAACCCAAGAGAGGCAAGATGGCAGTTTGATTCAACATGACTCAGTAGTTGGTGTTGGTACAAACTTTTTTTTTTTCATTTATTTTTTTTTCTATTATCAGCTTGATAGGGTACAAATTCTTATCCTAATAGTGAAATTTTTCACTAAAGCTTGCAAAGTGATTGGGTAAAACCAAAACTTATTATAAACCACAGTCATCCCAGGGTCCCCCCTGCTATATAGCTTCCCTGGATCTGTGGGTTGCAGTCTGATTGTTCTTTGCTTTATATCTAGAATCCACTTATGAGTGAGTACATACCATGTTTGTCCTTCTGAGTCTGGGTTACCTTACTCAGGATGATATTTTCTAGTTCCATCCATTTGCTTGAAAATTTCATGCTGTCATTGTTTTTCTCTGCTGAGTAGTACTCCATTGTGTATATGTACCACATTTTCTTAATCCATTCTTCAGTTGACACTCATCTAAATTGTTTCCAAGTTCTGGCTATTACGAATAGTGGTGCAAACTTCTGAGTCTGCCCCTGAGGCATTATTTTGGGCTTATTTAAGCACAGTAAAAACATTTTTTCCGATAAAAAGTTTCCTGGTGATCATTGACTCAGTCATGTGCTCCGGACATGACTACACTGAAACTTTTTGTAAAGTACAAGTGATATCTTCCATAAAGATGGGTTCTATAGATTAACTGAGAAAGCAAGCTCAAGATGAGAATCTGGGGAAGTATCCAGTGTGGTCTCAGCCACGCAGATAGTGCAAAGATCACCAAGCAATTAACCACATCCATTCCCAGTCTTCTGGGCAGAAAATAGGTTATACATCTCTCCTTTGGAGAGACAACCCTGTGTTGTTAACATTCCTGGTTCCCCTAGTGCTAATCTGTGAGCACAAGGGACTTCGTGCCTCCTAGATGCACTCTCTAACAGCTGGGTAGGGACACTGGTCTCACTCTGCCTGGATGAGGTGGTTGCCAGCACTGTGGTCCTAGCAGGGCCATTCTCCTCCAGCAAATTTACTTGACATATCGTTGGCAGCAGGGGTCGTGGGCGGATGAGATTGGCCTTCCCAGCTGGGAAGCATTGATGGTGTTTGTTGAGCCTCGGGGGCATGAGGGCTGTATCTTCAGTAGGATTCCAGGTCCCTCAGCACTAAGGAAGGAGGTGGTGTGAAGGGTCTTTGCCCAATTACCACAGAAACATTTACTGAGTGCTAATAGTATGTATGTGGGGAAACTGAGGTACTTGCAGGAAAGACAAACCAAATCTGTCCTTTAAAAGCCCACTGAATAAAGCCAAATCTGTCCTTTAAAAGCCCACTGAGGGCTGGAGAGATGGCTCAGCGGTTAAGAGCACTGACTGTTCTTCCAGAGGTCCTGGGTTCAATTCCCAGCACCCACATGGTGGCTCACAACCATCTGTAATGAGATCTGGTGCCCTCTTCTGTATACATAATAAATAAATCTTAAAAAAAAAAAAAAGCCCAGTGAATATACCTCTTGTGGCTTCGAGTTTAGCGCAGATGTTAAAAGGACCCCAGACTGGCGGTAGGGGTTTCAGGACCAAGATCTGGATCTTATACCAACTGTAAGCATCTCTGAACAAAGTTACTCCCTCCCTCAGGTACTTAATTTCTTTCTTTGTGAGACTAAGATCTCGCGGGAACCTTCCGGCCCAGACGCTCTGTAGTAGAGGAAACACAGGCTTTCCATATAGGAAGCGGCACTGAAAATGGGAAAGCGAAGATCTTGAGGTTTGCAGTTCACCGAACTTCGCCCGGCCCCAGGATGCTTCCGTTGCCCTAGCAACCGCCAGGCTAGAGTGGTCCCCAGAGGGCAGCTAAGGAAGCCGGGAAGAGCCCCGCCCTCCCCAAGATGGCTGCACGGCCTGGGGCGGGCCCCGGGGCCGCCAGCAGGTCTGGACCTTTCCTTCCTTCCCCTGTCTTCTCACACTCACAGCGAACTTCCATCACACACTTGTTCTTTTTCCTGGTCCAGAGAGTCGGGGAGCGGAGAGAGACGGGTTGCCTTCAGGGATTGGGGCAAACACCCACCGGGGGAGGCGGGACTTCCGCGCCCCGCCGGAAGTGACGCGACAGTCGCGGTCGGCGCCAGGTGGAACGGCAGGTGGGTTCAGGTGCCAGCCTGGCCGGGGCCCGGCTGTGGGACCGACTCTCTCGGTGAGCGACCGAAGCGGCTCCCAAGGGTCTGGAGACCCTGGGGCGGACTCTGGAATCCGAGCCCATCGCCCTGGCCTGGGGTCCTCCCCGGTACCAAGTAAGAATCACCTGCCCCGGCTTCCAGCCCTAGGCTCCCCGCCCGGTCCCGAGCGGAGGGCTGGAGGCCCGCGCTGTCCCGGATGGGGCAGGGTCGGAGGGAGCTGGGGCTGACATCTGGGCACTTCAGTTCCCTGGAGCCCCGCGTTCTTTTTTTCTCCCAGACCCAGTTCCCCATTCCCCTCCCGAGCTGGGCAGTTAGCCTGTCGGCCCCAACTCTCGGAACCATGTTTGCGGACTTGGACTATGACATCGAGGAGGATAAATTGTGAGTGTTCCCCCCACACACACCCCAAGACCTGGGAGCTGAGGACCCAGGTCCCTCGTGTCCTTGGGTGTCTCAGCTCCACGCGTTTCTACTTCTCAGTGTATGGAAGCAGAAATGGATCCGAACATTCTAGTAGTTCTTCACTTGTTGGGGGCGGGGTGGGGGTGGGTGGGCTTGTGACAGGCTAACAGGTCATCACGATTCAGGCCCTGCGAGCCCCGATGGCATGATCCAGCCACAGCACAGCAAGTGGAGCGGTCCTGCTGGGGTGGCCTGGGAAGGTGTTCCAAAGGTGGCCACAGAGCCAGCTTGCAAGGGCTGCCTGGGAATATCACAGACCTTCTTCCCCAGCATAGATGATCAGTAAGGTAGACTTTGAAAAATTAGATTTGTCTGACCTTTAGAAAGTACTCCCAGAGTGAGGAGTAGATGTCATGGCCTTGTGTGTCGTTAGTCCTTAGTAAGGGGTGAGCAGCCGTTGGCTGTTAGCAAATCAGTCTTCAGTAACCAGGTTGACACCTGAGCCTGTTCAGCACAGGACACACCTAAGCTCATTGATAGTGAACGTCGCCGGGTGGTAACTGAGCAGTGTCATTGGAAGATGGCTGGGGATAGTTGACTAGCTTTATTCTAAAGGGAAGGTGGTTATAACATCCTGCGTGTGCCTGAGAAGGGGGCAAGGACGGAGCCTGGCTGAATCTTTGAGTGTGTTTCTTGGAGTTGCCTGCTCTGGACTAGGATGGGGTCCATGCACATTTCTTGTAAGGTCTCTGACCAGGGAGCCTCATTTCATGTTGGGGGTGAAGGAAAGAGAAGCAGAGGAAGTGCCTGACCTGAGTCCCAGAGCAGATTATGGCAGCTCTGGGCTTTGAACCTGCAGCTGCTTGACTCTTGACTCTTGAGCGTGTTCTGGTACCGATGCTCTTTCTGGCTCAGGAAGGAAGAGGTTATTTCCTGTGGCCTTCTCCTTCCAGTCATCCTTTCTCCAGATTCACCTCCACCTGCTTCTCTTTCCAGAGGAATCCCCACTGTGCCTGGGAAGGTCACCCTGCAGAAGGATGCTCAGAACTTGATTGGGATCAGCATTGGAGGAGGGGCCCAGTACTGTCCCTGTCTCTATATTGTCCAGGTATGAGGCACGCTTTGGGCGGGGGCAGGGGCCTGAGTGGAGTGAGTCCCCTCCCTTCTTGGGTGTGACAGAAGGAGGTTCTCATCTCTCCACTCTGGAAGAACTAGCTCCGGGCTGGGGCGGCTCAGCCGGGAGGATGCTTGCCGTGCAAGTTTGAGTAGCAGAGTTCAATCCCAAGCGCCTGAGTAAAACACTGATGGGACAGTACGCTCTTGTCACCATAGTGCCTGGGGGGTGGGGACAGGTGGGTCCCTGGCTTCACTGGCCAACTAGTGTAACCTAATAGGTGAGTTCCAGGCCACGGAGAGACACTGAGTTCCCCCCCCCAAAAAGTGGTTGATGCCCGAAGAATGAAAGCAAAGAGCGTCTGACTACCACACACCTGCGTGTGTAAACATACACACAGAGACAAAGGTCTGTCTTGTTTCTTTAAGATTTTACCATTGGTTTTTGCGTTTGGTGTGTGTGTGTGTGTGTGAGTATGGGTGCCCTCAAGTCATGGCGAACATATAGAGGGGACTACTGTGAGATCCCAAGTTGGAAATCAGGCTAGCAGGCTTGCGTAGTAAGTACTCTACCTGCTGAGGCATCTCACCAGCCTTCCGTGTTTCTGAGGTCTGTTCTTAGCCAGACTGGCCCCCGCTCTAAGAGGGGCTGCCCTGTTCCCTTTTCCACCTGCTCTTCGCTACAGCTGTCCTGATCTGGCTGTCTGGCAGGCTCTTGGCCTTACACCATGTGTGTTGGACTAAGTTAATGCTGGTCCGTGTCTAGCATGTAACAGACATTCAGTGAAGGTCTCTAATGAATCTGCTCGCCGACCGAAGTAGGAAGGCTATGAAATAGTAATGTCCTTGCTGGAGGAGGCAGCATGCACCTGTGATCCCTACACTTGGAGGTGGAGGCAGGGAGGATCAGCGATTCTGAGTCATGCCCAGTTGCACGCTGAAGGAGTTAGAGGCCAGTGTGGGCTACTCGAGACCTTCTAAGCAAACAAACAAAAGGAGGTAGTAGCCCAAGATTCACATGAATGTCCCCAATTACCAGTGAGTTTCTTATCCACTCTGGGTCTCAGTTTTCTGATCTGGAAAGTGGGGGTTTAAAATATGTAACCCAGGTTTGGTTCCCAGCACCCGTATCAGGCAGTTCACAAACCACCTGTAACTCAAGGTCCATGGGATCTGATGCGGCCTCCAGTCCCTTCACGCATATGGTGCACATACATCACACACATCACATGACATTTTTAAAATTAAGTAAATGTCCTGGGCTCCATGAGACCCTGTTTCAAAAGAAACAAAACCAAGGACATTAATGAGATAAAGGATGCAGGCACAAATGTCGTTGAGTTCTTGTGAAAATGAAGCCGAATGGCAGAGTGCAGGCCAGGCACTTAGGCAGCTCCTCTGAGTCACCGCTGCCCTGGTCTCTGACAGCTGTGCCTGTCTTCCTGCCCCAGCTGTCATGCTGGTGTTGGAGGGCAGCTTCATGGTTTCTGCTGAGGAGGCTGTCCTGGTGATGTGTCCACTGCGATGCACGGCTCCGGCAGCCGGTCATGAGGCCGCCTTCACCAGGTGCCTGAGCAGTCAGTGACATTCCTGTGGCCTTGGAGGGAAGGATCCAGACTGTACCCTGTTGGGACACCCAGCAGAGTAGGCCTCAGGGGCAGACGGCACTGAGTCTCTGGGAGGATCATCTGCTCTGACCTCTACCTTCAAGGGTGATTTGGTCTCTTCTGCCCCAGGAGACTGAAGGAGACCTTTCTGAGTCCCTCCTGACCATGTGCCTGCTCAGCCTCCCAGCCACTCCCCTTGGGCCCATCTGTTCAGGACCCCAAGGGCATGTGTGTTTGAATGAACTGCATCAGAACATGATGGGATTTGTTTTGTTTGCATATAGCAAGTGCACAAAGGCCTGTGTCTACCCGCAGTTCCTGCCCTCTCTGTCTCCTCCTCTTCAGCTACTGCTGCAGATAGGACTCCTACTTGCCTTGGTTTTACTATTACAAGTGAGTGTGTGTGTGTGTGTGTGTGTGTGTGTGTGTGTGTGTGTGTGTAGATGTCCATGCAGAACAGGCATTTGTGAGCTGCTTGCTTGACATGAGGGCTGGGGACTCAGGTCTTCTACAAGAACAGGATGCACTTTTTATTTATTTATTTGTTTGTTTGTTTGTTTATTTATTTGTTTGTTTTTTTTGAGACAGGGTTTCTCTGTGTAGCTTTGGAGCCTGTCCTGGAACTCACTCTGTAGCCCAGGCTGGCCTCGAACTCACAGAGATCCGCCTGCTTCTGCCTCCCGAGTGCTGGGATTAAAGGCGTGTGCTACCACTGCTGCCGCCGCCACCCCCCCACCCCACCCCCCGGCCAGGATGCACTCTTAATTGCTGAGCCTCCTCTCTAGCCCTCCTGGTTTTGTTTCCTTGATCACTTGTTCTTGGTTCAGGAGAAGGAGTTCAGCTCTTCGAAAACCACAAATCTCCCTCTTACCCCATCTTCCCATCACAGTCACTGTCTTGACTCAGTGTTAGCACCACAGGCAACGTTTGGGGAACAGTTTCCAAATCCTGGTCAGCTCTGGAGGCCAAGGAGACAGAGAAGGGACAAAGGCAAGGCCCCTTCTACAGCGCTTGTCTTGAACTTTCTGATGAACTGGTGTCTTCCATCCCCCCTCCCCCCTCCCCCCTCCTCCCTCCTTCCTTTCATTTATTGTATGTGTGTGGGTGTTTTACCTGCACGTGTGTCTGTGCACCACATCTATGCCTGGTGCCTGTGGAGGCCAGCAGAGGGCGTCAGATGCCCTGGGACTGGAGTTACAGACAGTTGTGAACCGCTATGTGGGTGCTGGGATTCAAACCCAGGTCCTTTGGAAGAGTGGCCTGTGCCCTTAACTGCCCAGCTGTCTCTTTAGTCTTGAATCGGTGACTTTTTTTTTTTTTTTTTTTTTGAGGCAGTCTCATGTAGCCTAGGCTGGCCTCAAATTCCCCATGTAGCTGAAGCTGGCCTTGAACTACTGATTCTGCAGCTACCTCACATGCTAGACTTAGAGGCATGTGCCCATGCTCAGCCCTGTTTTCTTCCTAGCAGAGCCTCTCAA